CCATTGCTGCTGCTCCAGCCCCATGACCCCGGCTGCGCTCCGCACCTGGGGCTGCTCCTCTCCCTCGTGCCCCCCCCTTTCCCTCCTCACCACGTTGGAGTCACCGTTAACACCATCCCCTCCACCGGCCCTTCCTGTGCTGCGCATGGGGGTTGGCGCCTTGCGGGGACGGGGTGGCCGTGGCCACCAATAAAGATGTGTTGGTGATTCGGTAGTGCTCAGCTCTGGGTTAGGGCCAGCGGGGCGCGCTCCCGCAGGTGGGGTGGTGGAGGAAGCAGCGGGAGAGAAGCAGCTCCTGGTGCCTGGGGCGAGCACACAGGGTGGGCTCCTGGGTCCTGCTCGGCTCTGACTGGGGCCAGCCTCATCCTGCCCTGGCACTCGGCCATTGCTGCTGCTGCTGCTCGTGAGCTTCCTGCAGGGTCAGTGCTACCGGGGCCTCTGAGTCAGGTTCCGGTGGGTCGGCAGGTGGGTTTTCCTTCAGCAAGCATTTTGCTGAGGAGCAGGCTGGAGTCAGGCTGGCTGTGATCTCAACCCCAGGTCTCAGTGCTGCCGGCTGTGCTGCTGGCCGTTCTCCCCATGAGCCGCAGTCACCTGGGTGCTGCTGGTGGCAATGCCGAGGGTTCAAGGGCTGGTTTCGTGCCTGTGACAGTTGTCCTGGAGTGAGGGGCCATAAATCTGTGCCCCTTTTCTCTTACAAGGGGCTGAGGATGGACTCAGACCAGGGCAAGATGCAGTTAATTGGTATGAAAAGAATAAGAACTGTGAGCACAGCTCTGAAACTAGGATTTATTGAGGAAGATATTCTAGTTATTATCTACTTAGGAACAGAGGATTTGTCAGGACAGATCAGAGTGTTTGCATCAAATCTGGCATCCTGCCTGTAGCTGAGATAGTGAGGGGATGTATTAGAGGGAAGACTCCCCCCAGCCTTTCCCAGAAGTTCAGGTATGCGGCCTGGTGCTATTTGAAGGGGAAATAAGGTCGTTGGAACCATCACTGGCTGCAGATGTCCAATCCCTGTGAGACAGGAGCCAGCTTCAGCCTGACTCAAGCAAATCAGAGGGCATGCTCCTCTCCTGCATGCAGCGGTGTGAGAGCTAGTCTTGGGCTGCAGCATGTTAATCTAAATCTAAATGCTTTTGCAATGCAAGAAACCCCCAACTGGCTCAGTGTCCTGGGTTCAGCAGTAGCAGTCATGTTTCTCCTTCTTGGTAGCTGGTGCAGTGCAGTGTTTTGACTTTCAGCCTGGGAACAGAGCTGATAGCGATGTTTTGGTTTGGCCAAGGACTTTGTGAGCTTCATGCTCTGCCAGGGAGGAGGGGAAGCCAGGAGGGAGCAGAGACAGGACACCTGACCCAAACTGACCAAAGAGGTATTCCATACCACAGCACGTCATGCCCAGGAGGTAACTGGGAGTGAGCCGGAAGGGCTGGGAGACTGCAGGGTTGGAGTCAGAGCTTGGTCGGGCTGGGGGCTGAGTTATCGGTCAGCTGGTGGCGAGGTGTTGTATTCTCTTCCCTTGTTATTTCCTTTATCATTGTTATTATTGGTGGTAGCAGTAGTGATCTCTGTTATACCTCAGTTACTAAACTGTTCTTATCTCAACCTGTGGGAGTTGCATTCTTTTTGATTCTCCTCTCCATCCCTCTGGGAGTAGGGGGAGGGAAAGAAGGGGGAAGTGAGTGAATGAGCCCTCTGCCTGGTTTTAAACCACGACAGTTCTTTTTTGGCGCCCAATGTGGGGCACAAGGGGTTGAGATAACGACAGATCTGACCGGATTAATGGTCACTGGTCACAATGCTGATTTATTGGCTCTCAGAGTTGTTCTTGTTGATCTCACAGTTTCAGAATGGAGTACATTACTTAGAGCCGGTATTTGCTGTGTTAGTGTTTATCAAGTGTGGGGCTTGGGCTAAGGCCTTGTCTCACTGTGCTTTATGGCAATGGCTTGTAATACGGGCGGGCTCCAGCAGCAGGGCGGGACGGACGTGGCCGTGGACTTGTACCTGGCCGTCCGGCTGCTCTTCACCGGCCTGGCCCTTGCCTCCATCTTCGTGAGGCTGCGGGGAGCCGAGGGGGAGCGGCCCCGGGAGCCGGCGGCAGCCGAACCGGCCCGGGAGAGCGGCCCCGGGGACCAAGCGGCGGCGGGAGCGGGGCCGGAGGCCGCGAGGGGACGGCTGCCGGTGGAGGAGGTCGGGGCGGTCGAGGAGCAAAAGGAAGCGGCTGCCGAGCAGCGGGAGAAGGCGGCGGAGGAGCCGAGCCCCGCAGCCGATCCCAGCCCCGCGACAGCCGAGAGAATTCCCTGGAAGCCGCCCGCCGAGCCCCAGGAGGATGCAGGAGACCACGCAGCATGGTGAGGTGTTGTATTCTCTTCCCTTGTTATTTCCTTTATCATTGTTATTATTGGTGGTAGCAGCAGTGATCTCTGTTATACCTTAGTTACTAAACTGTTCTTATCTCAACCTGTGGGAGTTGCATTCTTTTTGATTCTCCTCTCCATCCCTCTGGGAGTAGGGGGAGGGAAAGAAGGGGGAAGTGAGTGAATGAGCCCTCTGCCTGGTTTTAAACCACAACACTCAGCCAGAAGGATCCATCAGTACTCAGCATCACGTGTGGGAGCTGGGCAGCACAAAACCAACCAAGAAGTACATTTTCTGACATCCACACTGATGTTCCCGTAACCGTAACGTCATCTGAACCATGAAGCACTCGGGAAATGTTTGTTTTACAAAGTGGGGGAAGAGCTGCTACAAAAACAATCCCAGTTTCCAAAGAGGAAATATTTCCTGGTAACAAGCAAAAAACCCCACTGTGTATCCAAAGGAAAGAGCCCTGGGAAATGCCCTTTCCTATGCACGGTGGCAGGGCTGCTGGGGCTAGAATAGATAGATAGAATCACAGACTGGTTTAAACTAGAAAGGACCTTAAGATCATCCAGATCCAACCCCCTGCCACGGGCAGGGCCATCTTCCATAGACCAGGCTGCTCAAGGCCCTGAGATGAACAGTGGCAGAGGGGGAGAGCCATGGTACTGGGTAGGAGCACAGGGGCTGCGATGGCTGCAGCCGCTTGAGCCGAGTTCCTCGCTGCTGTGCTCATGTATAAATAGGAAAGCAGTCAGTTATTATTAGAGCTTGTTGTGTGGCTCTGGAGGAGCTACAGAAAACCCTTCCAAATGAGCTGCTCTGCAGTGCAAGCAAAGCTCCTGGGGTCATGTCTAGGGGAGAGCATCACAAAGAGCAACTTGAGTCTTGGAGACAGTCTTGGTCTGCCCTCACCCCTCTCTGAGCACCTGTGTTTCCCATTCCTAAGATGACAAGGCATGGAATCAACAAAGAAACTTACCCTGGGTCTTTTGTCTCCAGCACCTTCCCAGGATCTTGGAGGACACAACCAGCTCCTGCACTGTCACAGCATCCCGATGCACATGAGGAAGCTGTTTCCCATTCAGGGAGGTAGCAAAAGGAGACCTTCATGTCACATTTCCAAGCTGCCCCAAGGCCTCCATGGATAGGCACAGAAAGAGCAAGATGTACATGTGGAAAACCCAGAAGGTGGGTCAGCCTTCTGGTTCCTGCAGGAGAAATACCACCAGGTACGTTAGGATGGGTTTGGTCCCGTGTTATCCTTGTGTCCCATCCCTGCCACCCTCCTCCAAACCTGCCCTAGAGAGCAGCACCTCAGGAGGAACAGCCAAAAGTCATCTCATGGCTGAAGTCATGCAGTATGAGATCTTTCGGTAGCATTTAGCTCCTGGAAGATGCCCACATCATGGGCTAACTTATGCCTAAGATGCTCTGTACCCCCTAATGGCAGAGGTGCTGCACTGTAGCGTTATCTTTCTTGCCTCTCTGTTAGAAACCGCATTTTTCTTCTCTCTATGCATTATACCCTCTAAAATATGACCCTAATCTACAAAACAGCACCTAGGAATGCACGGAGCTCCAGGACTGAAAGACTTTACAGAGCCAGCAGGGTCAGAGGGAAAGAAAACCACCATGTACATGATCAATATATATTAAAATGGGATTTGAAATTAAAGCATGAAGAAGCCTTGATCTGGTTTTAATTCTGAATGAACAAATACAGCTGTTAATACATGGCAATGCTATTTTGCTGTGATAACAAAGCAGATAACACCAGCAATCTAGTGAGGCTCAGGAAAAGAAAGTTTAAGAGAAAATCCCTAGGTAATCTCTGCTGCATTTATCACGCTTTGGCACTCATAAAGTAAACCCAGGCTGAGCATAATGAACAGAATCAAACAGGCTTTTTCAGGTGGATTTTTTTCCCTGCTGCTTTAAAAATCACATCAGAATATAGTCACGGGAGAGACAAAAAGGGAAGAACTCCTGCCCTGCCGGTGGTGCATGGGGAATCTGATTGTAAAGGCTTCTTCCTGTATGGCTGAGTAGACGTGAGACTGCGATTTGTTCATCACAAGATTTAAGCTCTCCTTTGCGACACAGAACCAGTGCAACAGTCCTCTCCTGCTCTGCCAGAGGTGCATAGGTAACACACATCACTTATACATCACATAACTTATGTCTAAGCTGAGAGTGTGCAAAAGCCTCAGACATCACTTCACCTGGCCAAGCACTGCTCCCCGTGTCCCAGCAGGTTTGGGGTACCCACAGGCATCGTATCCATCTGAGTGCTGCCCCATAGCACTGGTTACCGCTAGGGCTCTTGGCTAAGTGGCAGGGCTGTGGATACAGAAGCAAAGCAGGTATTTAGGAATCAGGTCTCCAACAGCCCCACATGGTACCACTGAACTCTGCTCAGGGCTTGTTTCCTCCCTCTGAGGGCAAACTGGGTCTTTGCCCTGTGCTGAGGATGTGAAAGGGGCTTTTGAGAGTACATGGATTTATCCTGGGGTTGGGTCAGCAGAAATCATTAACTCCAAGAGTCTAATAAAACCATTTTAAAATACACGTGTGTTATTTAAGGGACCTCGGGAGAAGGCAGGCATGAACTGCTCTTCTCCAGCAAGGCTCCAGGTGGAGCACCTCAAAAGGCAGAGCAATTCTTGAGAGCAATGAGCGGGGACGCTGTGATGAAGTGGTGCTCTTAGGGAGTTCAGTGAGTCTGTGAAGGCTGTTAAATCTGCTCTGACACTACCAACAGCGAGATGCTGGGAACATCCTCACCTGGCTACACAAAGTGATTTCAGTGGGGGCCACTGGGGACCTCAGGTGTTTGGAGAACATCACTGAAGTGTGAAGACACAAAACTCACCCAGTCTCGCATCCCAGCCCAGCATCCCATCCATTTCAGGATACATCCCAAGAGGATCAAGTCCTAGAGTACAAGTTTTCCTGGCTCATTTGCAACCTGTCCTCCCTGAAACAGGAGCTCCCGGGCCCTGTAGTCAGCAGCTTTTCCCAACCCAACACCAGGGGCTGTCATTTAGCTGAGGAAGGCATCTCCTGAGGAGGAAGAAGAAACGCTGCAATTCAGGGCAGGCAACACATTCCTCACCAAGACCCCGCTGGCAGGTGCTAAACACAGGCATGCTCCACTTAATACCCTGTGCCACTTGAAACACGTGTGAGATGCAGCAAAGAGGAGGCTTTATCCCTTGCTATTAAATATAGGAGCAGTGAGATGGGGTTATAGCTGTTGAACAAAACCAAGCACGGCAAACAAAGCACATCAACGTGATGAGCAGAGGTTGCTCTGGCATAGGACATGCCACCAGCCACCCAGGCAGTAGCAGAGGGTGATAATCCCTGCAAACCAGCACCTGGAACTCAGGCTGGGGGTGTAAAATGTATTGGGAAAGAGAAAAGGAGAAACAGGTTCAGGGTGGGATTGAGATGCATTCCGAGACAGCTGCACCTGGGGGCGGTTGCTGGCAGCCTCCTGATGTGGTGGCAGCCTGGTTTTGTAGGGAATTTTACTTCCCCATGATCACAGACACAACGTGGGAAGTGCAGCAATGGGGGAACTGGTTCAGTGCTCAGTCTTGCAACAAATGAGGTAAAGCCCTGCTGCTGCCAACAGGCATAGGATCTAATGATTGCTGCTGGTTGAAGATGATTCTAACAACAGGAGGAATTGTGCTTTATAACATACAGGGTGTGAAGGTGGACAAAATCCTGTACAAGTTCCGCATAAGCTCTCATAGCAATGAATCCCACTGCAGGAGCATGTATTCCTGTGTATTCCCAAGCACAGCCTTGGCTCTCCGTCACCTGGGAAGAGCACAGTGAATGTGCTGTGATTTTGGATGCTGCCTTTCTGGGTCCTTTAATTCTGGGGTACAGCACTTTTGTCCCAGGGACCCCTTTCCCCTCACTGATTTCACTACTAGGCCCCTGAGATCTGCAAAACAGACCCATAATAATGCCCTCTCCATTGCCTATTGTGCTGAGTAGCCTGAGCTTTTAATCCTATGGATGCAGACACCAAGAAGCCCTTGGGTTGGGGACTGCTAACCACTTTGCATGGCTCTTCTTTCTGAGGGAGGGACATTGAAGCAGAACATGATGGTGTGGCTTACCTGTGGTAGGGCAGGAGGTCCCTGTAAAGCTGGACAGTCAACCTGCTCCTCCATGGTCACCCAGTTCTTCCCTGGGACACTCCTCGTTGTTTATGGTTCATGACACGCCACTCATGAATGCTCCTGCTGCATCCACTCAACAGCCCAAGCAGGCAGAACCTGCAGAGATGTGATCTCTGGCAGCACGACCCGATTGAAACCTATAAAATATAAACAGATGTAAAGCTGCCAGTCACGCAGGGAATCAAATTAAATCAGTTCAGCTCAGCCTCCCCCATCTTCCCTTACTGCTCAGGCAATAAAACCACTCGCTATACAAATATTGCAGCTGTATAGGAAAGCAAGCCATTGAGCTAACTAACAGGTTGCTTATAGCAGTAAGAGAGCTCTGCCCAGTGCAGGGGTGTTGTGGGGCACCAGCCCTCTCATATCAGTATCTGCTATTTATATAGCACTATATCAAACAAATAGCTCTCCACCAAGAGGTAGGCACAGGTATACACCATGACCTTGCTTGGAGCTGTGGTGGCTCCATGCAACAGCACAAAGTCTTCTCCTTCCCATCCAGTGGATGCTAGTCCAGAGTTAAGGGAGGTTTCTCACAGCCATCCACACCATCCTTCTTCCCTACTTACACACTCAGTAGCCAAGTCCACCTTGTAGAACCGATGAGGGCCCAGGGCACCTGCAAAGAGCTGATGTCCAAAACATCCTTTATGACCCTATTTAATGAGTATCTCTGCCCTAGGTAATGCCCAATGATTAGAATATGTTCTGCTACAGTAATCCTTGCACACAACAGCCCACCGAGGAGGGAGCTTTTCTCTGGAACCACAGTTTCAGTCAGGCTCATCTGCGCTAATCTTACACCCATTAAAATCAGTTGTTCTGTTTCTAATTCAGCCAGCGCTGCCAAGCTCAGGAATTAAACATTCATGAGCCCATGTCCCTGGGAAAGAAAAAAAAAGAGCCCATAAGTTCATCTGGAGCAGCATGGATTTTTAATACAACCATAAACCCATCTCACTGCTCCTTTGTGCTCGAAGCTTTCAGCATCCTGATGAGGCACAGGGAAATAAATAAAAGCTGAGCTTTCTACACAATTGTGTGACTCCAAAGGCTGGTGCTTCCTGGAGGCATCCTCACAAATTGCATGAATTTCATTTTACAATGAAAACCAAAGACATAGCAACACTTATCCTGCCTCAAAACAAGTGTTGCTGCTGAAACAACAGAGTCCACCCTGCAGACCACAGGGCAAGTTGTCCACTGGGTTATACTGCAGTGAGGGCAGGAGCCTGGAAATGCCACCAGCAAGAACCATCCAGCCTTGGTCTGGATAAGCACATAGAGCTCTCAGCATCCCCCAGTCCCTCTGGAGCTGTGAGAGCAGCATCAGACCCGTAAGAGAGACACACGACCCAGCGTAGACCCAGCCATGAGCAGCAGTGAGCAATGGACAGGGCTGTGGGAAAAGCCAAGGCACCACATCACACCAGGTCATGCTTTGGTTGGCCTCCAGCACCCCCTGCAATGCTCGTACCACCTCGGTGCCCATCAGTCCCTTTGGACAGCTTCCCAGCACCTATCCGGGTATCTCTGCCTTTGAAGGCTACATGGACCATGAAGACTTACCTCTCCAGTGAGCAGCCAGATGCTCCCATGGCTGCAGAGCAGCACCAGGGGGAACACACAAGTTAATGAAGTCAGTAATTACTTTCAAATTCTATATGTGTATGTGCAACGAGGTGTGATTTTTACTATACTCCTAATTAAGGCCACCAGTGATAATAGCCGGAGACAAAGCCAATAAACACCACTATTTGAAGCAGATGGGGAGTCAGAAAGGGCTCTCCAGTATGTTTTCTCAATAGCCAAAACTAAACAACTTCTCAGAGCTGCCAGAGCCCTCCCAGCCCATGAAAACACCCAAACAAGCTTTGCTGGCCCAGGCTGGATGATGAGGCTGTGCTGTCTGGGTCTCTTTCCACAAAAGCTGCCGTTTTCCCTTGGAAAAAGGCACCATGTTTACAAAGTAAAGCTCAAGTAGGAAAACATCAACCCAGGCCAGTGCAAAACCAAGCCTGGGAAAAGGTCAGGATTAACTCCTCTGGATGGCTTCCTGAAGAAGGAGCATAAATAAAGACGGGTTGTCAGTGAGCGCTAGCGAGTGCTGCTGCAGTTATTTATAGAAGGCATTCATTTCCTCCAGGATCTGGATAAATATCCATTAGCTTTCAAGGTGATGAATCAAGTATTAATTAACCTGGGGGGGGGGGGGGGGGGGGATAGAATACGGATATTAACGTTTTAAAAGGAAGCTTCCAGCTGAGGGGAAAAAAGGAAGAGAGCTAATGGGAACTTTCCAAACAGCACCTCATTGTATGGGAAAGGAGCAATGGGCAGGGAACAGACCTGCTGGATGTACTGACTGGGACCGTCAGGCTTTGCTTTGGTCACAGGGAAATAAAAACCTGTGATCTTGGCATGCCTGCAGAACTTCAGGGTAAAGAGCTTGGACTGAAAATGCAGTGGGTGTTTTATACCTGACAGCAACAGCATCCACCCCTCTTATGCCACTGGGTACCAGAGCCAGCACAGAGCTGCACCCCCCAGGACACCATCACAGACATCCTGGCAGAGTGGGAATAGTCATTTCTCCTTCATACACTGATGTAACAACTGTTTTTTCCTCCAAGCTCTCCCTAAATGTTCAAACTACAAACAGGGCCCTGCTTTTAGTGCGAGCAATAAACACCCAGAGCAGCCATCAGGAAATCAGCAGAACCAGAACATGCTCTGGCTACTACACACTGACGCAAATGGGAGGAGACCTTGGATCTTTCATTCCCCACCTTCCCTCTGTCCTGCTCAGGGACCAGCTGAGCTAACTCTTCAGCTTTTGGACGTCCCAAAAACCAGCAGCATCACATGGAGACAAATGGGGCTCAGCATCAGCATGAGTAACATGGGGAAAAGAGAAATACTGCACAAAGAAGATGTTTTCCAAGCAAAAATGCCAGAATGAGATGTGACACCAAATTGTACAGCAAAACGAAACCCATTTCCTGGTGGCACCAATACAAGACCTACAGGACCTCTGCACCATCCATACCATCACGCTCCTGGGTGCATTGGCCTGGGATGGTTTGGCTGCATCCCTCCTCCTCTCTGCAGAGCAAGGCAGCTTCCAGGTGACATAAATCAGAAGCCTGGACTGACTATTTTGCAACCTGAGACACAGCTCTCCCATGGCTGAGGAAGCAATGCTTAATGGAGCACAAAAGATCCTATATTAGATGTGGTCTTCAGGATGGACTTCCTTTGCCATGCCTGCACTCCACCCCTACGTACCCAAATCTTTAACAACTTCAAGCTTTTTTCTTTATAATTTAAGAAAAAAAAAATACAGCATATGCAAGCAGCTTGTTCCTGCCTGTATTTAGCTCTTTTCCCCCCCTCTTCTGCATATTCCCCAGCTCTACCCACACATACCCACACTGCAGACAAACTATCCTAAAAACAGTGAGAGAGGTCTAAAAACACAACAGTAATCCAGGGCGTCATCAACTTCCAGGAATGCCAACTGCCCTGAGAAACCACAACTCCTTTGTTGTTGTTTTTTGTATGGGGTTGGGTTTTTTTTTTAGGCTTTTACAATCTTGTGTTTCACCGAATGGCCCAAATTCGCTCCTTCTCTCTGCTCAGTCCCATCTCTCCCCAGCTATATTCAGAAAGCATTTCTCCCCAGCCTTGTTTAGCTCATGTTTCAGGGCAGAGCAAATGTTTGTGCAGGAGGGGGCAGGGATGATGAGTCAATTAATAGAACCTAATAGAAACTGGTTTTTAAAGTGCCTGTTCTGACTGTGAGCAGCACCAATCACACAAACCCAGCACCACCAGCTTGGCCCAGTGCCTCCTTGCAGACACAGAATGGTTTCCTACAGTGAAACTGCTCTCATCCTGCATGAAATGCGGTACACGATGAAGCATCTGCCACTTAGTGTGAAAGACACCATCACAGCCTAATAAATCACATTGCCAGAAGGACTTCCATGCTATCACCAGTGCTCTTCTCATTACATGGCCTTCCTTCTCCGTATGCTCCTGCTCATCACTATGCCTTGCAGACCTCACATATTTCAGCTGATGAACTCATCCCCAGAATAGACAGCTCGGCTAAGCTCTCTGAACCCAGGTCTCAGTCACCTCTTCTGTTGTTCCTATCACTCCAGCCACAACTTTCTGTGTCCACAAAGGAAAGCCCTAGAGATGCACTATTTGTCATTCAGATGCCATTTATTACACTGACAGCACCTACACCTCTGCCTTTTTCCAGGCATGCACTAAATTGGAGGGGGTGGATGTGAGAGATGGTGCCTATTCATTCTCCTTGCAGATGGTCAAGCCACAAAGCACCCAAGCAAAGCCACATTCTTCCTTTTAACTTTGGCCAAGACCCAAACCACCCACTGGTGGAGTCAATGTTGGACTTGCACGTTCTCTCATAGAGCAACTATCCTGGCAACACATCTAAATGCATTCATTTCCCATGTATGCAGTGCAATTTGAGATACCCAAGTATAACAGGTTAGATTTTGATTTCATGGGAGTGGTCAGGTTTAGATAAGAAAATGGAACAAAACATCCTGATCTCTGGCACATTAGAGCAGCAGTAATTTCAAGCAGAACACAATATTGCAAAATTTACACTAGTAAAAACTAATCCCATATTAAGAAGAACTGAATTTGGAAAACATCACTGTGAAAATAGTCATTTCATAACCAAAACCCTGCAGGATCCAACCAAGCTGCATGGGTACCACAAAGGAGTACAAAGACATTTCTAGAAGTGCATCACCCCTCTACGAGGCACAGCATCCAGCCTCATTCACCAGCAACTGCTGATGCCAGTGGCCAACTGGATTGGAATGAGAATAGGCCTGGTTGTAACTGAAATCACAGCAGAGTGGAAGGCTATAGGATCACAGTGTGCCTGTTTCCATTGGGAACTTCACATCCACAGTGGAGCTGGTAGCTTCTTTTGTAGGACAGACTATTCTGTTGCACCAAGAGGGCTCCTGCTCTGGCTCAACATGTCCAATATTGTGTCTGGGTAAAGAAACTTAACTCATTATTCAATCAAACTTGCTTGGATTTTTGCTTTCCTCTTTCCTCAGTGAGCCCTGGGGACACTGGGAAGGGTGCAGACAGGAGAGGGCTCTGAGGAGGCAGCAAGCCATGGTTGATGGGCTGCTCCTCCAGCCAGGAGTCAATAAGGTCCATGAGACCAGTGCCTATGCCAGCAAAACAGCGCAGGAAGAGCATCAGCTGTGATTTATCAGCCAGCCCAGCCCAATGGGTGTATCTTCCATTGGACAAGTATCTTCTCATCTCATCAGCACAGTCCAGCCCATAGGAGTGCTGGTCCAGATTATAAACCCTGGGTTTCTACTGCTTGCTGGAGATAGCACATCCCACAGTAACCCAGTGCAGAGGAACAATACTGCCCTTGGATCTGACCTCTTCAGCCACAAAAACAAGTTAATTTTGGTGTAATCAGAGAGTGACCGTTATTTGCCATTGAGCATCATAAGGATGTGAGGAAAGATGTATGTGTTTAATTAAGTTCTGGGAGAAAAAAGCAATGTGTACCTGTCTGGACTGCAGAGAGATGAACTCAGTACTTCACCCATGCCTCAAGCCCACTGCCTGTTTTCCTCTGCAACAGAATGACCAGCCTAAGCTGCAGACAGGGACTTTAAAAAGCAAATAATCCTTCCAAAAGAGCCAAGGCAGCACCTCATAATTCGTATATCTCAGAATTGGGAGTCTTCACATTTCTAGTGCGACCCATGGGCAAGCGTTCAGAACCTTAGAAACCTAAGGGAGAGCACTCCCCAAATTAGAGCATCCGGAGGGGACCCCACAGAGCTCCACATGGATTTTTCCCACAGCTCCTGCAGCTGCCAGAGTTTTCTATAGATTGCCCAGGTCTGATTTTCAGCTATGAAATAGCCTGGGCCTGAGCTGCCCTTTTCATCTGAGGAATGCACAGCTGTGAAAGTGAGATCTTGGTTCCTCGGGCTGAACTCGGCTCGAGAAGTGGGGATTTGTGGCCAACCCATCAAAATCACGTTGTGAATGGGTCACATTCATTCTCAGGCTGCACATAATGAGTGAGGAATGGGCAGGGTGCAGGCACCACGATGCCTTTGGGTGCATGGAGAAACAGCAAAACCCACACGGAGTTTGGACAGGGAAGTAACACAGCCAAAACTCTTAACTGCATCTAAAGAATTTCTAGAACACAAAGAAAGAGCAATCATCATCCCCCCAGAGGCAGCCGAGCATCTTTCCACATTGGAAAGCACTTTCTACTCCTCTCAAGCACTCAGATCCCCTGTGAAAGCACTATTCCTCTAAAAGAGTCAGATTCAGTGTCTGTGGGCTTTATAAAGATTAAATAACCTGTCTGCTATTATTGCTCCTTGTATGACTACACCAGAGCAGGTAGGTCTCAATGCTAGTCGATAGTCCCAAGCATCAGGGAGGAAACCTCTATAGTCCCCAATGGCACTGCACAGCCAGATGCACCAAGATCCCTCCACAGCCAAACCTTCCATGTTTAATCCCCATGGAAGTCAATGGAACATATCTATGTCCCTAAAGCTAAGCACCTCTTTCAGTGTTTTACCCGAGTGTTGTGAGCAAGCCCCAGCCAAGGCAGTGCCTTCAGCCTCGTTCACTGCATGGTGAGCTGGTGATCCGGGTGGGACAGTGCTCAGCACAGCAACGGATTGCACCTTCACAACACCTTTATGGTTAAGCACGTGCATAAACTGGGGTCTCCTGCCCTTCTCTGTGCAGTTCCAGCCCTGCCCGAGATGGAACAATATGGGGCAAAAACCTCACATTTCACAAAGAGCTGACAAAATTGGGCCACATCTAATGCCTACCAGTGACATGGTTTTTATAGGCAGGGAACTGAATCAGTCCCTGCAAGACCCAAGACCCCAGCCCTGATTGATGCTGGCATGTCAAAGCTGCAGAGGTTCAGCTTCCCCCAGCATGGACACAGGCTCCCTGCCTTCCCTATCCTGCTGGGAAGAGCTTGGCTCCCAACCCAGCGGGCTGACCACAAACCCTGCCTGCATGAATGCGTTGTTAAGACACTCATTCACACTGCAGCCACGGTGCTGGCTGGAAGAACATATATCAGGCTTTTTGTCAAACAAAACCCAGTCCAACGGTCTGGGAGGACAGCAGAATCTGCCATCACACTGCTTTGAAGGGTTTACACTTCACTGCAGCACTTCAGATCTGCAGTTGTTTCCATAACCAAGTCCAAGAAAGCCTGTGAATAGGAAGGAATTAAGCATTCATGCAAAGACCATTAAAGTCAAGGGGGATCTTTCCATTGACTTGAGAGCATTTGGCTCCCAGCCCTGGATATCAGGGTCTGTTGTGCTGGATTTAGAGCAGGAAATGGAAGCAGGACTTTGCAGGTTTTCTCAGCAGTTGTTACAGAGCTCAGCACAGAAGCTCTCTGTGCATGTAAATTACAAAGTGACTGCTCATCTGAGATGCAAGGCCCTAATTAACCATCTTTCTGTTCACTGCAGGCACCTCCTCCATCATTCCTGACAGACCTAACACCACAACAAGTTGGACTATCCCATTCCTACAGGCAAAAGGATTTCTTTATGGGTCCTGCCATGTCAGTCCCTGATACATAACCCACATACGATGTGTCAGCCCAAGAGGCAAAACCACCACAGACCAGAAGCTTCAGCAGGTCTGAAAACCTGGTTAATCTAAAACTCACATCAGGATGAAACTCCTACTAGGATCTGAGCAGCATTTCTCCGATTTCATTCCTGCCTATTCAGTTATAGCCAACAGTTTTGCACAGGGATGTACTGTCTTTGAATGCACCAAAACAATAGATCTGCGCTGTCTCCATTTTCACATAGAGAAGAAGAGATCTGATGGGACTTAACCTCTGGAAGTGATGCTTTGTAAGGAGCATCTTCCCAGGCACCCAAAACTGCCAGCACACAAACCACAAAGCACTCCAGGAAGCTTCAGGCTCTTTTAAAATGCAACACTCAGATCGTAATGTCCTGCTAACAGAAGCAGTGCTGCCTCTCTTGCAGTAAGACAGCCTGTCAGGTGAGTTTAGCGAGTGCTGTGCCAGGTACCCATGTCTGCACTTGGCATTGGCGCTTGGAAGATGCTGGATCCTTTCCTGCCTCAACCCCACATCCGCATAGTTCAACACTATCATTTAGTTACCTCCTTTGGTGGTAAAAGCAGGACATTTCTGCACTCCATGTGCCATGGGAAAGGTCATCCCAAAGAGAGGGGGCTTTGATTTGGTGCTGGACCAAAGGCAGCAAGCCCAGAGTCTGCTGTGTGCTGACAGCCACACACCACCATGGTCTTTGCAGGAGGCAGCATCCAGTGGTTAGAGACGTCCTTCCCACTCCTCGTGTGCCTGGGAGAGGAGCAAAGCTGCAAAGAGTTATTCAAACCATAGGCTTAGGGAAAACCTCTCCCTCCTGGCAGATGCTCCTGACTTGGGCTGGATTTAGAAAAACAGAGGTGACCAAGCCCTGCTTCATCCTTCAGTGGGAAATACAGAGAGACAAGAGTATGCTTAGCTGTAAGAAACCTGATCCCAGAAAAAGAAGAAAGCAGGGTGGAGAAGGAAACGCATCCTAATGCCAGCGGTGACCCAAACCAGCTCTGCAGAGCCAACAGACTCATGGAGCCAGAGAGGACAGACACAGCTAAAAAAAAGACTGCTTTTGGTGGCTGTGACCTTGCATGGGCAGTGCTGTGTTCAATGGGATGGCTCTGAGCAGTCTAGAGCGATGTGCTGGTCCAAATTCACCTCTGCACAGCGATGGTCTGCAGGCTCCCCATGCAGGAGCATCCATCCCTATGCCCAAGCATCTCCATTAGCCTGGAGGGAGATGCAGTCACCCCAGTATGGGAAGTCAAGTGGGGCCTTTTGCTTCCAGAGGGATGTGGTTTAGGAAATGAGCGTTGCACCCACCTGCTGCAATCTCAGTGCTTCAGTGGGACAAACTGCCAAACTCGACAGGAACCGAGGTCTCATTAGAGCGACTGAGGCTTTGGCAGAGCAAAGGCTTCTCAGCTTCCGTTTATAGGCTCCATGGCAGCAGTTCAAGGCAGGGCAGTGTGCACCATTGCATTATGAAGTCTAGACAGCGCTGGAGCGCTGCAAGCCTGAAGAATGCCTCTTTCCTGCCCTCATATATGATTCAAAACCCAGCAGCATTCCTCAAGCAGGAGCAATGTGGGGAAATACTGAATTCCTGTGTTCAAACAGACTCTTTTGCACTATTGTCTCCCTCTAAAACCTCCACAAGTCTGCCTGGATTATGGAGGTTGCCAGCATGAACTCTCATTCAGGCTCCCCAGAGGAAGGAAATGGAGAACTAAAAGCTGCCTAAACCCCGTTTTTTATTCCTACCTGGAATGAAAACAGCAGCTTTGGAGCAATTCTTGAAATATCTGCTTTCAGCCAGTTTTATTCCTCCTTTTCCTCACTCTGAGCTGACAGAGGAAACCCACCTGCCTGAGACTTCGCTGCCTCCATGGACCTCCAAGCAGTGCTCCCTTCTCTGTTAAAAGATGCTGAGCTGAATGGTGTCCAAGCAGCTGTGCTCCTGGGTATCTGCAGCCTCAAAGAGAGCAGGAGATGCTTTGAACCTAACCCAAAAGTTGAAACAGAAGTAGTTTTAGTTTATTGGAAGATTCCTGTTGTGTCTTAACTGCTAAATTCACTTCTAAAGACCTGAGAGATAAACAGCGTTTCAGCAGCCCCTGAAATACAATCGGGGGAGGAAAACAGAGCAGCACTTTCCTACCCATCACCAGAAATGGGGATGACATCTGGGCAATGCATCCTCACTGTTCAGACTGCAGCAGGGTCCAGCAGCAAGGACTCAAGTCATTCAGCAGCAATTCAAAGGAGAAAATAGGATCAAATGATGATGCTTTAGACTTTGCCAGGCTGCCTCTCCCTGCACACCAAGCATGTACTCGCTTTCCTTAAGTGCATTGATAAACACTCTGGATCAGTATTAACACATGCCAGATGCTGGGGAATCATCTCCCACTTATGGCAATTATGAGGATGTCCCAGAATACAATAAAGCAACTGAGAAGATGAGCATCTGGTGGGGGTTGTCAGGCCCCAACACAAATCTATGCAATAAAGAGGTGTGATTATTTCTTTCCTTGAGTCATACGGCATTTAGCACTGGATACATGCAATTCCTCCTTCCTTCAGGGGGTCTCCTCAGGAGAGGAGCAGAGCATCCTTCCTCCAGTGGGAATGCTGAGCTGCTCCCCCTATCCTGCCCTTTCTGTGCTGAAATCCAGCCACCATGTGCACCCCAATCCCACCAGCATCACCCAGCCAGAGGGACCTGTGCAAAGTGACCGTGCATCTCCATCAGACAGCACCTCCAGCCAGAGAAACCACCAGGTGAGACCATCTCCTTCTCTCTGACCTGGACCACCTCGTCCATGGCCATGTCCACTCCACTCCGTGCTTCCAAGCCAAGGGCAAAACTCCATAGCTCAAGGTAAGAGAACCTGCCACATGCTGAGGTCTGTTAAAAGACATACAAAGTGGTGAAGCAGTGAAGGTTATTTCCTACATAAACCAGCCAGGAAATGATGATCGTGCACAGGGAATGCTCTGTGGATTACACAACAGTGCAGACACGTGGCTGAACAACATTTTAAACATACTTAATGGATGATTCCTAGAAGTAATAGCAAGTTTTATTCCTGTGAAAGGCAGCAGAGCCAAGCTATATTTAACAGAGGAAAGAAGCTAGGAGTAATCTCCAAAGGTCTGATAATGCAGAGTCTGTGCTTAAACATGCTCCAGTACATCTTTAGGCAGTAAATGCCAGCTACAAGGCTGGTTTTCTCAGTTTGGGTAGCAATTTTGGGACTCATTGATTTTAATATCAGAAGCAGCCATTAAGGCACCTCCTATGAGCTCTCCACCACAAGCCAAAATGTTTCATCCAGTACAGAACAGGGATGGAGGCTGGATAATTCAGAACTATTTGCAATGAGTGACACATCAGCCTTTGCCCACAGCCAAGGGCTAGCCCAGATCCATCCGTCCCTCCTGCCAGGGCCATTCACAGTATCACAGTATCACAGTATGCTGGAGATTGGAAGGGACCTCAAAAGATCATCTAGTCCAATCCCCCTGCCAGAGCAGGAACACCTAGATAACGTTACACAGGAATGTGTCCAGGCGGGCTTTGAATGTCTCCAGGGAAGGAGACTCCACAACCTCCCTGGGCAGCCTGTTCCAGTGTTCCGTCACCCTCACTGAGAAGAAGTTCCTTCTCAAGTTTAAGTGGAACCTCTTGTGTTCCAGTTTGCACCCATTACCCCTTGTCCTATCATTGTTTGCCACTGAGTAGAGCCTGGCTCCATCCTCGTGACACTCCCCCTTTATATATTTATAGACACTTATAAGGTCACCCCTCAGTCTCCTCTTCTCCAAACTATAGAGACCCAGCTCCCTCAGTCATTCCCATGAAGGTAGCTCCTTAATTCCTTCCCTATCCTCACAAACCGATTTTAATCCCATTTTCCTTCCCAGAGCTTTCTTAGACAACACTCAGAAAATGAGCTGAGGAAGAGAAACATTGGGGACCATCAATGTCAGCAAATGCCACCCATCTGGCACCACATTCTTGCCTCTGGAGGCCCCAGCAGTCATGGTGAGCATCTTCCCAGGCTCCCACCCCACTGAAATGCACCCTGCCAGAAAGACTTCCGGGGGGAATCTGCTCCTTCTTGTTTATTGGTTTTCCTTTGGGCTTTTTCTCCATGTAATTTCCTGTGGACATCCGAAAAGAAACATGACCAACATGGCTTACAGCAGCAGCATCAGATGAAAAGCGCTGAGTGGACCCAAAGTCACATAATACACTTACAGTGTTATTTACAGTGTTAACACTGCCATAACTTTAAAGTCAATTGTAATGTACATTTGTACTCCTAGTTTACTTTTGGTAAGATTGAATTGCTTGGCGTCAGCTCCAGGTTTTGAGGGCTGTGGAGTCAATTTGCAAAGGGTGCTTGGGAGAGAGGGGGATGCTTCTTCCTAGAGAATAATACTGCATGTCTGAAACCTCTTCAAGGCTGTGGAACCATCATTCTGGATCCTGGCTCGTGTGAAATCCAAGGTCTAACAGGAAATCACATTTGAGTCAAACTCACCTTATTCCTCCCAAGAAGCTGATGCTTTTCTTCTTTGTTTAACTGTGACCATTTCTCTGTTTGAGATCTGCTTCTCATTGTGTACCCAGTACCTGGCTCCTCTTCTATAACCTTGGGATCTTTGACAGCAGAGTGTTACTACTGTGCCGACTACATGAAGTATGCTTTTAATGTCCCCACTAGGGGACATTAAAATGAGCTTTAAAGTATGAATTCAATCACTTAGAATAAAAACCAGTTCATAGCAATATTTGACTTTAAAAGCACTGTGGAAATGCTTAACTGCTTCGTGCACCGAGTCCCATTGCAGGGAACACAATTAAGATGCTTTGGCTCCCATTTTTCAGCAAGTGTATCCATGACAAGCTTTCCCAAGTGTCTGCTGCAAAGTGCTGGCAGCAACACGGCAGCAAGGCTGCGCAGAGAAAGGTGCTGTGCTTTTGGGGACTGCAGAAGACCAGGGCTCAGTGTGGCCAGGCCACTGCTCCTCCCTCAGCTTCACTAAACTCAACCATTTCACTCAGTTTAGGGACCTCTGTTTAATATAGCACAGTGTTAACATCACCCAAAACCACAGAACAAGGATGCAGTCGGGTGTTCTGCTCCACTGAGGCTCGTGCACAGGAAGGAAAGGGAAGAGTGAGTATTTGCCCAGCTGGATGCTTCAGAGAACACGTCCATCTCGGTGCCTCTGGCTATGTGTCTGTAAAGCGCTGAACAACAGGAAATCGTTTGGCTTGTATCAGACTAAATCCAGAGAGCATCAACCCTGCAATTAACTATAATTAGAAATCCATTCCGGCAGCACCACGGAGCCAGTTCTCAGGTCTTGACAAGTAACCCTCCCAACCAGCCAGCTCCCATCTCTACTGCCCAAGTAGCCATTCCCTGGGCTGGCCATGCCAAGCCTCAGGCCCAAATTCCCCTTGGATAAGCATATAGAATTATTTCTTAATGCACCTTTCTGCACTGCAACTTTAGAGTATTCAATAAGAACAGATAGCCTGCTGATGTGAGATCTCATGGTAAGCAAAGATGAAGGAATCCCCAGCCTCCCACTCCAGCCATCTTCAGCCCTTCCTCTCCACCATCACCTAAATACCAACAGGCTTCTAACCCACAATGTGGATGTGGCCAAACCCAGTGCTATTTCTGCATTGCTAATGCCCTTCAGAGCCTGTGCCAGCTCTCAGAATAACATCCAGAATACAATGGGAGAAGCTCAGTCCAAAGAAAGTCAATTGTCACCTTATTTTCAAGGAGATTTTGCATTTGTGATTCCCCCAGTTAACTGTGCTTCCAGCTAAAGCTAAACATTGCCATATGAGCAAAAAACCCCAGCACTTAGAAGGCCTGGTACTTAGGGATCTAGTAAAATGACAGCAGCCCCAGCTATAATTATTGCCCTGTAATCTGCATGTCATGAATCACTACATAACGCAGCAATAGCTGCAATCACTGCACATAGTTATTTGTTCTTTGCGCTGAAATGAAGTGGTGGGGAAGATGGGCAGAAATTGAGTGTGGAGTAAATACGCAGTCATTGTCGACCTTTTTCTGTCAACAGACACTTAACAGTTTTCCTGTGGATGTCCTACACAACAAATACAGGAAAGGAGTGCACAGGCTCTCCAAGCTGCCTTCTGCACATCCCCAAAACCCCCGTAACAGTGAGCTGAGGTCTGGGAAGAAAGGTGGGTAACCAGGAAGAGTTACACAAGATTCCAATCACAACTAAAACTGAGGCTTTTCTCTTGCTGTTCTTTCAGCCATTTGGTTCCCAGATGTTTTAAACAGCTTTCTGAGTGTGAGTTGGAGCCAACAGGGCACCCACACCACAGCCAAGGGGCAAACTTGGCATTTTGATCTCGCTTTGGGTGCGTGAACTAAATGTTCATGTTCTGCGCAGTGAAAAAGCACTGAAAATCTCAATTTGGAAAGTGTGAGGGGCCCCATCCAGGCAATGCAATGCAATGCCAGGGTGGAGGAGGAGAAAAAACACCTCTTGTAGCCCCCAGATCTGCTGGATAAGGTCATCACTTCCAGCTCCTTCCAGATATGTCAGATAAGGTCATCACTTCCAGCTATTCAACATTTCTTTGCACATCAGCTGGTTTCCTCTATAACTTATCTCTGAGGCAACAAGGCAGATTAACTCTGCTGCCAAGCTCAGCTCTTTAAAATGCTTACAGCCAGTCAGAACCTCCACTGGGCTGAGACAGGAGCTGGTCCATGGAAAGACCAGATGGACACCAACCTGGGCCACAGGTGATGCTGAGGATGGCACCAGCCCAGGAGCCACAGCTCACCCATGTTAACACCATCAACTCACGCTTATATGGCAGGAAACCTGAGCTGCAGTTCCCATGAGGCTCATGATCAGCCTCTGAACCTACCCAAAAAGAAACCTTTCCATGTCATCAGAGATCAAGTTCAGCAAAGCCAAAGCTGCTGCACAACCGCAATTCCCACCCCAGGAGTAAAAATCACATCACATCAATACACAACTTCTGACTGAGCTCCTGCCTCCCACGTGGGACGGCATCCCTAGCACATGACTTAAACACAATGACCAAGTGCTCCACTGCAAAACAGAAAGGACAAGGCCAAATTCAAGGTTTTCTGCTGCTAAATCCACATGATTCTGCTGGTTACAATGGATGTTTATTAGTTTAAATATAGTTCAACTCTTTCTCTAAAGCTCAGTACTTACAAGTGCCTCTGTGTGTGTAATTAGCGGCAGAGATACATAAAATGGTTATTCAGTCATCTCACAGCTCCTTCTTTCTCAGTTTGTGATTTGTTCATATTCTAAAGAGACCCTGGTATTAATTACTTATTGTAGATTAAATACAAGACTGGGAAGAGGAGGAAAAATCTTCCTGTGTGTGGCAGACTTCTTTGTATCTTGCTTAGTCTCCCTCCAGAACCATAGCTGTTGGTACTGAAAGGCAGAAAACCAGCTGAGCCGAGCACCTCTGCCCTGCACTAAGAAATGCAATAAGAAATACTTTCACACTCAGGCCAGGAGAATCATGCATTGATCTGCTGAGGTTTCACTGACCTCTACATCACTGTGTACTACAGAAACTGTGCTAAACTCCAGCCAGCTCCACCAAGCAAGCATCAATGTGACCTAGAACACCTCTCATGGGAGCAGAGAGATGGTGGAGGGGAACGAGGAACCAAAGAATCCCACTTTCTTGAGTGAATTTGGAGCACAGGAAAGAGCATGGGGAGGTAATCTTGGTGTAAGAGCAGCACCCATATAAAGGGGAGGTCCTTCATCCCTCTGAGCCCAAACTGGCCCTCTCCCAGCAGGGATGCTCTGCCCATCATTCTCCGCAAGCTTTTGCTTCCCAACATGACAGAAGACTCATTACTTAAGGCAGGAAGAAATCCCTCTGCTTATAGCACACAGCAGATGAACAAGTCCATTTCAGTGGCATTTGCCTCTGGATGAGTAACAAAGGCAGAAATGAACACCCCAAGAACAAGCACAAAACCCCCACACGAACTCTTGTGTTATGCCTGGTAGCTCACCGGGAAAGCATGATGCAATAGAAATACCCTGGCTCCTGCTGAATCCATGTGTGAACATCAATTGTTAAGCGGAATAATTCATTGTGCTTTGACTTTCACCACGGGCCCTAAGACTCAAATCCATGTTCTTTCCAAATCACTGTTATTTCCAGCCTATCTCCTGTGGTGAGGTACATAGCTAGCCTGAAATTTCCCTGTGACACCTTAATAAATAGCTTAACTCGAGATATAATTTACTAAGGTTTAAGTGTGTGCTCAGAAAGACCTATTTCTGTTGCAGGAACTTGTGCCAAAATTGGCATCACCTCTTTCCAAGGCTTTCTCCATCAA